TTTGTGACCTTCCACGGGAAAACGTACGTTAACGATATTTCGTTGAAACGGCAAAACGAACGGATAACGAACGGGTAGTGAACGATCTGTAATAACGTTTCAACGAACCCAAAAAACGTTTTGACGAATTCAGCTAAAAATGTGAACGTTTAAAGTCGAGAATACGAACGGATAAATAAACGTTCAATCTGAAGCCGTTTGAACGATTTATGTTTATGAACGGTTTTAACGAATTAGTCTGAACGCCTGTTGCGCGTATGATTGACGCAAGATATTATTGACTAATTAAAAGAATAGGAAATATTTTCAAACACATAACATGTGTTGGCGCAAGTATGCGTGTACATATAAATAGCTATACCTTCATTTGAATGTTTAACTAAATTTATTAGCTAAACTACCTAAATCACTTTATTTTATACTTTATATACATATATACATTTGCATTTTGCATCAAAATTCGGGTTTATTAATCGTTAGAAATTCTTCAGTTATTAGTACAAATTATCATCGTTACGTCAAATTAATCAATGCATCATCTGCAACTATACCCATCAAAATATTCAGCGCGTGTTTATTTGCAACAACGTAACAGATTTTGTAAATCTCTCCACGGACAAACTATATGTATGGGTGGTTAAGGACATATAAACACATCATGCATGCATCCGTTTTATTAACACGGCTCTAAACCGAGAGTAAACGAAGATTGCCATAAATGGCCTGCATGGCTTCGATAATAATATCATAGGCAATGTCATTGGTCACCGTCTAAGTTTCGTTGAGTTTCAGCTACTGGATACATATTTTATGTTAAACTAAACACAAGAGATTCCATTGTACACTATTGCTTATACTCTTTGACGCGCAAAAGACTAAATTAATTATCGCAAGGATCAAGTTGTTTACAGATGATAACCAGACATTAATAACAGTTATACAGAATATCGCATACGCAAAGCTCGTTTGTATACGAACCAGCGTAGTAACGTGTGCTTGCATGCTGTCAAAACTTATTTGGTATAAATAGCCTACTACATTAAATATCCCAACCATTTATGCACGTGAAAATCCACATTTCAATTTCAGCAATGCATTGCGCGGTAATAAAATATTTAAAATATAAGCTTGGATATTTACCTAGTGCTCACAATATGTTTCGTGCGGCAATAGCCTCTAGCTGCGGTCAAGCTTGTCGCGGAATGTCGCCTATACACAGTACTGTCAGTAGCAACTAAGGGCATCATTATACCTTAAGAATATTTAAAAATTTGATAATAATCTATTTTATCCACTGCATGCACCATCGCCATATTTTCTTCGCAAAGCTAAAGCTGCAATGTCCCTATTTCTGCCGCCATATTTTTTCATGTAAGTGATATGTTTTGTGACCATACGATCACATATGCATGTGTTATGACTTATGAACCAGTATATCGCTAATTAATACTTGTGATATTAAATTAGTTAACTAAATTCCTGGTGGTCATATTCATCAGGAAATATTTTATTTTCCCCAAATATTCGACCATCTACATAGGTAACTGTGTAAATACCTATGCTACCTGCATGAGCCTAACAATAGTGACCTAAAGAAATAGAACGCGCGTAAATTAATGGGATAATTTTCGAAATCTTCATTTCAAACCACCGCAATCCCGAAGGTCCGAATTCAGTTCCGCCCTGCAAAACAACTTAATACTCAACCCCGGCAGCAAGAAAAGATTGCACAGTATTTTCACTAAAGCATATAGCAATAGCAGACGCCCATATAGAACCGGGTTTTTAAATCACAAAGAGTGCAAATAATTTTTTCTGCAAAGCATATAGCAATGCTGCCGCCCATATAGAAACGACAATGCCAAATGCATGCACAGGGGAGTTTATACTCACCATTTTAAGAAACAAACGATCCTCAACATCTTCGAGACATCTACTTGTGACACAATTTGTGCCTCCTGCTTACAGTAAAATTAACTAATCAAGATTATTTAAGACATGCATGAAAGCATTAATCCATTTTGTCTGGCGAAATCTTTTTATATCATATAATTATATATATTTCGAGGTAGCATCTACCCCTTTTTTATGAAAAATGTCAGCAAAGTTTGTAAACAATTGTTGTTTCAATGTAAGTAAATGCATCCTATAAATTGTAACCACCACGGCCCAAGCTAACAACTTTTCTAACCTCAGCCAAGCCATTTTCAAGGTCTGGCAACCTTTCATGTCATGTTTATTCGGAATGATTGGATGATCGTGGCCCAACTTGATTCCACCGGCCATGATAAGCAATCTAAAGAGTTATATTGCAGTGCGCATTTATTTATATATCCGAATACATTTTACTCGCGTTAACATATACATAAAATGCAATTGAGAACGTCTTGTTATATACAATTGCATGATCATCTATATATGAAATCTTACTTCGAATGCGTGTCATATTTCGATATATATGCATGGTCAATAGAGAGCTACAGTTTAGCCAAGCAAATACACTCAAGGGAAAAAAAACTTTAGTTTAAATCGAGAGAACCGTTATACGAATTCTGTTGATGATTTCATCAATAAGCCTGATTTCAATGCTTGGAGGAAAATAATTGCAAGCGCGCCTAATAAAGTGGCCAAGTCATGACTTTTTCTTATATCATAGCTAATGTTTCATTTAGTGTTCATACCTGGTATTAACCTTTATATATGCTTGCGTTAAAACGCCTTGACTTCTCCATAGATGCTAATATCCTGCAAATATTTGGGACAGTCTTCGCGAAATTATTGGTAAAGATCTTTACCCGCGCGCTCATGCACGCATAAACAGTTGACAGGCGCCATTTCAAATTTGCTCATTTTGCCGCTCTAGCTGGCAGGCTTCAAGGTGCAATGACCATGCATAATTGCAATTTAATATCCGGAATGTAATTTCTAATCAAGGGAGCCAAATCAAAATTAGTGAAAATTTTCCTGTTGCCCAACAGCTGATATGTTGTCCAAGCAAGATAAATTCCAATGCTCCTTTTCTGATGAATTATATATAGCGAAATATATGTGGCAAAATATCTGAAAGGTCAAACTTAAATGTTTGTAAACGTTAGCTTGGCAACTTGCCCTTTGGGCTTGTGTCAGCCCAGTTGTGCGCAATGAAGGACTGCACGCACTTTAAAACATAGCGCAAAACTCAACCTCACAAAACACGGAATTTTTTTTGTAATAAAAAAGTCACACAATGAACATCATTGATATAGGTTCATTACTCTCATACAGTCTCTATCATTTATACGATTTGAGCCTTTTCCGCGTTCCACGTTTCCGATTCGAGGAGCAAGTCGAGAGAAATCAAATTACAACCAAAATATACATGGGGAGTGAATTGTGCTGAAATGTGCATATATCAATATATATATGAAGTATTTTTTTGTGAATTAAGAGTCTAAATAAATATTTACAATGCATGAGTTATATTTATGCCATATATAAGTTATATTTATGCAATTGCCACCGTTCAACATGCCAGCAACGATCGAGCCAGATGGCTTAGATCTGGGGAGACAAAGATACCTTTTTAAGGAAATAAGACAATTTTGTAAGCGGGGCACTGAGGATCTTGTTGCTCCGGCTCTAGTTTTAGACTAGATGCACCTACATATTTAAATTGCTATATTCATGCAGTGGCGTAACGAACAGAGCCAAGGATGGGGTCTTGAAGTATACTTGGTACTGCGGGGTCCCTTAATTCGCTGTTTGTCATAAATCACGTTTTGCTTATACTATGATGTTTCGTTATCTATCCTGGCCTCCAATAAATGAGGATCTCTTAGTTCTTGTCGTAACCCTACCGAACGCGCGTTAGGTCACTGTATTTATGTCTTCAAATATTACCTAGGGTATTTCAATTGTTGTATAATTTGTAGCTATCTCAGACTGCATTAAAGACAACGAATTTCAAGCTGAAAGGTCTGTCCTAGGATGCGGTTCTTAATTTTGAATAGATTTTAATCAGTAGCTGCTTCGTACGGAGGCCAGATAAGTTTATCAGATGTAAATAAATTAGCTATATATACACATGGTTTAAAAGTACGATATTAATATGTAACACGCAAAATCCCTCAATTCATTTTAAAATCTGGTTTTGTCTGTTTACATACATTTAGAGACTTCCGACAATTATGCAACTTAATTAGCACCTTGCCAAGGCATATTATGGCTCGTAATGCTAATATATGGCTTGCGAGTTGTTTGGGTGCGCGGTGAAATTTGGCTTATGGAAGCTACAGAAGTATAGTAAAGCACAAATTGTAACCATTTAGTGCATTACCGAAATTCAAAAAACGATAATTTTTTGAAAGAAAGCTTAAGACGTGAAATTTGACGCTAATGGAATAATTGCATGCACTGAATCTTAATAGCCTTCTGTCTGCATGACGCTAAGCATAAACCATAACATGAAGCGCACAAAATAGCATTCGATTAGGCTAAATTGATAGAACCCCACTATTTCCTTTACAAGCCTTCTATACTAAGGAACTGAATACGTTTCTGGGAGTATTTCTGTGTAGCACATTCTGCGCTTCTTCTACAAAGTTGTAGCATTGCAAATGTTTAATCTAATATGTTGAACCAAATCCAATGCGATTGAACGAAATTCCGGCAAACGTTTCAACGAACAGTAAATCAAACGGTTGAACGCTTTCGGACCAATTTTCAAACGTTTTTTCCTAAGCGTTCGAACGGGCAATTTCGAACGATGAACGATCTCGAAAATCGTTTCAACGAACGCTTCAAGCGTTTGAACGGCAAACGAACGGATAACGAACGATATTTTCGAACGAACGAAATAGCGTTAACGTATGTTTTCCCGTGGAAGGTCACATTTATGGACAGTGCTTTATATACGCTGCAAATTCTTTAGCCATTCCATTCTGATATTTATATCAGCAATTTATAGGATGATTTACAATAGATGACAAATTCCAATTGATATAAAAGTTACCAATTCTTACCTTAACAGTGTCGATGTATGACTCAATCTTAATTCAACAGTAGTCCTACTCAGTTCAATCTTCTCAGACTTGATTGTGAGATAAAACTAAGCGTTAATTCACTACGCGGAAGTGTAAGTTCGAAAACAATGCGATTAACTCAAAATTTGCATACAGTCAAAAAAGATACCAATTATTACACATAGCGGTTAGCGTCGGAATGTCTCACTTTGATGCCCTAAGAAAATTAGCATAGAACTTCTAATTTTTTTATCGATATCCTCGTTTTCTCGTTTAAAGATTTCCCGATAACATATCTTTACATTACTGACTTATGTAATGTAATCGATCTCGATTTTTCCAGTCTGATCTTTTGGCACTGAACTGGCTGAAGTATATGGTCTATAACTAAGTTGCGCGCGTAAGCACTGTCTTTTCAATTCATACTTCCATTACGCAAATCGAATTTAAATATGCTGAATTATCTAAAACATGTATCAACGATCGAACAGATCGATGTTTAGAATGAGGACGCGTATCAAACAGCGTATGTGAGGGGTGTGTATATGTGAGGGGTGTGTATATGTGAGGGGTGTGTATATGTGAGGGGTGTGTGAGGGGTGTATGAGGGGTTTTTTAGGGGTGTGTGAGGGGGCATAATAACCATTATGAAAGTGGTCGTTAAATTGTTTTCAGTCATATAGAATAAATAGATTAAATAATAAATAAATGTCAATCATTTCTCCGTTTTTAGTATAGATACACGCGAAAGTCCCTAGCTTCTAATGAAAAATCATATATATAGAGTTGCTACAGGATTCATTTGAAGTCTTGTGTTGGTTAACTTTCTAAATATAGGTTTGAGACCTTGAGAACTTTCTCATATCCCATCAAAACCATTGTGCATTGAAAATTCGAGAACATTCCCCAAGTGACAAAAAAAATACTAGTTCTGTTAACGCTGATTGCTTGGACACTTTCATAGAGTCCATTTTCTTGAACCAGAATTATGACAATAAACATAAAAAAGTGTAAATACAAATGAAGAGGAGTCTTCCGAAGAAACGAAACAGGAAATAATCTAAAAGAAGAACTATTTTGCTGACTTTTTAAATAGTTCTTTTGGATATAGTGTGGACATAATTATGCTTGTCTTTATCTACACTATACAGCATGTTCAATAACACCCCCAATTATTTTAATGCGCCGTCTAACTGCGCAACTAAATTTCTTATAACTGTCAAAAACTACGCTACTATAATATACTTGTAGCTACTTTGGCGACCATAGCGTCCTACTAAACTAAATTTTATATATTATGAAATTTGATAGCCTCCAATTCCCGGTATTTGGAAATTGATTCTATGAAATGAGACGTGTAGCAAAGACTAAAATAAAAACATCTGTAAATCTTCGATTCTTATATTTTTTTTACAAATTTAAAAGAATGGCCTTGCATGAAACAGACAATTAATAGTTATTGTCAAAAACGAAATGGAAGTTATAACCATATATGATCTCAGTATATATCTTTATATATAGCCTATAATACAACAGTAATAGGCCTTGGCAAACGTTTATTTCATATATATTGCAGCAAGATATCAATCAAGTATTTATATTGGGTGCATAAATATTCTTTCAACTATATTTTTGGACCTGATTCTGAGTTATATGTATCTTCCGAATTTCTATATGCTAAAGAGCACCGGTCAAGAGGTTGTGAAATCGAAACTGATAGCTGTTCAAATGCTTTAATAGAAAAACGAAAGGGACATTGTTAATTTAATACAGAGTGTCTGAGTGTTGATTCAAAAATGTCAGTTACAGTTTTCAAATTTATCATTTCAGATAATTTTAAATATCAAAATGTGTTAGACCGTCTTTAATAAGGTATCATCACGGTTGCCGTTCGCTTCCGAACGGAATGTTATGAACTTCGAACGACAATGAGAACGACAACATAATAATCAAATCGAAACCATTGTAAGAATATCTGTCAGAGTCAGTGAGACTGAGTTTCGACAGAGGTTTAACCTCGGTCTCAGCACGGTTCGACCTCTGTTTGGCCTCGGTTCAACCAGGTTATTCATGGACAGTGCTTTATATACCCTGCAAACTCTTTAGCCACTCCATTCTGATATTTACATCAGCAATTTATAGGATGATTTACAATAGATGACAAATTCCAATTGGTATAAAAGTTACCAATTCTTACCTTTACAGGGCCGATGTATGATTCAATCTTAATTCAGCAGTGGTACAGTCCTACTCAGTTCAATCTTCTCAGACTTGATTGTGTCATTGTGACATAAAACTAAGCCTTAATTCACTACGCGAGAGTGTAAGTTCGAAAACAAAGCGATTAACTCAACATTTGCATGCAGTCAAAAAAGATACCAATTATTACACATAGCGGTTAGCGTCGGAATGTCTCACTTTGATGCCCTAAGAAAATTCGCATAGAACTTATATAATTTTTTTTTATCGATATCCTCGTTTTCTCGTTTAAAGATTTCCCGATAACATATCTTTACATTATTGACTTATGTAATGTAATCGATCTCGATCCTTCCAGACTGACCTTTTGGCACTGACCTGGCTGAAGTACATGGTCTATAACTAAGTTGCGCGCGTAAGCACTGTCTTTTCAATTCATACTTGCATTACGCAAATCGAATTTAAGTATGCTGAACTATCTAAAACATGTATCAACGATCGAACAGATCGATGTTTAGAATGAAGACGCGTATCAAGCAGAGTGTGTGAGGGGTGTATGAGGGGTGTTTTAGGGGTGTGTGAGGGGGCATAATAACTATTATAAAAGTGGTCGTTAAATTGTTTTCAGTCATATAGAATAAATAGATTAAATAATAAATAAATATCAATTATTTCTACGTTTTCAGTATAGATACACGCGAAACTGCGAAAGTCCCTAGCTTCTAAAGAAAAATCATATATAAGAGTTGCTAAAGGATTCATTTGAAGTCTTTTGTTGGTTAACTTTCTAAATATAGGTTTGAGACTTTGAGAACTTTCTCATATCTCATCAAAAGCATTGTGCATTGAAAATTCGAGAACATTCCCCCAACAATACTAGTTCTGTTAACGCTGATCGCTTGGACACTTTCAAAGAGTCCATTTTCTTGAACCAGAATCATGACAATAAACATAATCCAAGTGTAAATACAAATGAAGAGGAGTCTTCCGAAGAAACGAAACAGGAGATAATCTAAGGGAAGAACTATTCTGCTGACTTTTTAAATAGTGGTTTTGAGATCATTTTCCTCTCCATATATATAGAAATATTGGATAGTGTTGTCCGTGATAACATATCGCTTGTCTTTATCTACACCATACAGCATGTTCAATAACACTCCCAAATTTTTAATGTGCTGTCTAACTACGCAATATTCTATTAATTTTAGTTCGTGCTAATTTCTTAAACCATGCATGCATTTATTATACTCGCAGCAGGATGCTGCCTTTAATTCCTGGTATTTGCTGACTGGTTCGAAGAAATGATTTGTATAGCAAAATAAAATAAAGAAGGCGCAAGCTTTCTATATTACTTCTAAAAATATTTCCAAACCCAATCTTACAAAGAAGTTGGATATGTTTGATCAAAATTTTAAAGAAAATGTAAAGCTTGTATAAAAGTTCCCAAGTCTTACCTTAACAGTGGCGTAATTCAATCTTAATTTAATACTCATGCAATTTAATCTTCTCTGGCTTGATTGTGAATTAACACGAGCGGTACCTGTAGTTGGTCTTTTATGTTTTAAAGCCTTCACTACGCGGGAATGCAAACTCGAAAACAATGTGATTACCTCAACATTTGCATACAGTCAAAAATGATTATTGTAGATTGGCGTTGGAATGTCTCACTTTGATGCTCTAAGAAAATTAGCATAGAACTTTTCTAGTTCTCTCGTTTAAAGATATATTAGAATTGAGTGCACCATGCATATATTTTTCTTATTTTTACTTAAAATAAAACATCGATCTCTGCGTGCATTTGTTTCCTCCAAGGATCATGGCGTCATATTTCTGCAATGTTTCTTATTATTATGCCACAAAGATTTCCTAATAACAAATCTTTATATTACTGAGTTAATCTTTAACACGAATAGTCCGAATTTCATTGCTGCATTTATGTATTTTCAAAACAGATGGCATATTGAAACAAAACTGAAAGTGAAAGGAATTAAAATGAATGTAAATATGCCAATAAAAAAACAACTCATGCAAATACCCCGCAATTTCTTGTCACAGCTACTTCTTTTAGCACTGAAGTATATGGTCTATGACAAGTTGCGCGCGGAGCACTGTCTTTTCAATTTATGCTTGAAATAAGCAAATCGAATTTAACTATGCTAAATCATCTAAAACATGTATCAACGATCGAACAGATGTTTAAAATAAAGGCGCGTATCAAGCAGCGTGTGTGAGGGGTGGTAAACTAAATCTAACGCGATCCAAACCAACTTTGATGCTTGAATATGCATTCGTGTGTCTAGTACGACGTATATATTGAAGCTAAACCCACGGCAAATATTATATTCAATCAATAGATTCAAAAACAATCTTTTCTATAGATCTATCTCACTGCATGCAGGACTCGATCTTACTGCTGATTGCTAGAATTTGGAAACTGGCTCGAAGAAAAGGACTTAATTGCCAAAATTGCAGTCACAGCACGATATCAATCAAGTATGCATATTCGGTGCATAAATATTCTTTCAACTATATTTTTGGACCTGATTCTCAGTTCCAGATTCTTCGGAATTTCTATATGCTAAAGGGCGTCAGCCAAGAGGTTGTGAAATCGAACCTGATAGCGGTTCAAATGCTTTAACAGAAAAACGAAAGAGACATTGTTGATTTAACACAGAGTGAGCGCTAATTCAAAAATATCAGTTACAGTTTTAAAATTTATCATTTCAGATAATTTCAAATATCAAAATGTGTTAAACTGTGTTTAATAAGGTATCATCACGGTTGCCGTTCGCTTCCGAACGGAATGTT